CCGTCCCCTACCTTCCCTCCAAGGCCCTACAGTCCAATCCATGTCTCTCCATCTCTGGATCAGTCCTTGTTCATCAGTTTATGCTGTTCATTATATTCCACAAATGAGTGAGATCATGTGATATTTATCTTTCTCGCCTGGCTTATTTCACTTAGCATAATGCCCTCCAGTTCCATCCATGCTGTTGCAAAAGGCAAGAGTTCCTTTTTTTTTTTTCCCGCAGCATAGTATTCCATTGTGTATATGTACCACAGTTTTCTAATCCACTCATCTGCTGATGGGCACTTAGGCTGTTTCCAAATCTTAGCTATGGTGAACTGTGCTGCTATGAACATAGGGGTGCATATATCCTTTCTGATTGGCGTTTCTGGTTTCTTGGGATATATTCCTAGAATCAAAGTCCAATTCTGGTGGTCAGTTTTCCTGCAGAAAGATCCCAACGTGGATGTGTCCAGTTGTTTTTCATGATTAGATCTAGTTTAAACAGTGCTGGCATTAACACTGCAGAGGTGCGGTGTCCTCTTCGGTGCTTTGTGTCTGGAGGCACATCCTGTCAGAATGTCCCCTCATGGGTGATCTTTGCTTTGATTGCTAGGTTAAGGCAGTAGCTGCTATATTTTTTAAAAATATATTTTTATTGATTTCAGTGAAGAAAAGAGAGGGAGAGAGAGAGACAAAAACATTGATGACAGGAGAGAATCATTGATTAGCTGCCTCCTGCATGCCCAGTAGCTGCTAGATCTATCCTTAATTTTTTTCCCCCTTTGTCATTATCAAATAGTCTATGGGATAAGATATGTGAATATACATTTTTTCACCAACATTCTTTCACCCAGTGGTTTTCACAACCATTGGATTTTCTTGCTGTGGCAGATATCCTATATAATAAAAGGTCAGCACAACCAGAATGACCAATCAACCAATTGCTATGAGGTGCATTGACCATCTCTCGTTTCCTCCCCCTAGCCCACAGGCTCCGATTGCTGGATGGTCAATGGGGAACCACGGGGTAACCAGGGTGGGTGACGGTAGGGTGGGACTGGGGACTGGCAAGCAGGTGGAAGATGGCAATGATTGCAGGCTAGGTCTAGGGACCCTACCCGTGCACAATTTCATGCACTGGGCCTCTAGTAGCTTCATAAAAGTATAATTGGGGGACATTGTAAGACTTCTTTGAAAGTTCCTATTACAACCCTTATCTCTCATTATGTTAAATGTTTTCATCCATTTGTCTCTTCATTTAACAAACGTTTATAGAGTGCCTTGGCCTTCTGAAGTTTTCATCAGTTGCTTCATTGTTGCCTACACTAGTTAGTGCCTCTGGATTGGATCTTTATCCTGTGTTCCAGATCCATATTGGCAATTGCTTTTATATCTCTCCATCTGATCATCTATGGATACCTTAAACTCACATGCTCAAATTGTACTCATCATATTCAATATATTCTTCTTATGTTTTCTATTCCAGTAAATTGCACCTCTGTTTCCTCAGTGACTGAAATAAAAAGGACTCCCATTTATTGAGTGGCCAGCTGCCAAAGTAGATCTTTTATGCATGTTACAGGCATTATCTCATTGAATCCTTGCAATGACCTTGAGAAGTAGGCACCACTTTCTGGAGGACATTGGGCTCTCAGCCCCAGATCAACAGCTAGCAAGTCTTTGTGCTGGGATTCAAATTTACTTCTCTTTGACTTTAAAGTCTTTGCTTCAGTGGGGGATTGGCTAAGTCTCTTTAACGCTCAGGGCCTTGGTTTATAAATTGAGAAAAACAATAATCCCTACCTTGTAGTATTGTTTTGGGATTTGAATGAGATTAAACTTGACAAACAGTAGAACAGTTCTTGGCAGCACCACATTACCTCCTAAGCCATAAGTCTTGTGTCATCCTAAACTTCTCCATCCACTCACTGCTTGTGGATTCATCTCCTTAGGGACCTTTCACAACCACAATCATTGCCTTAGTTTAGACCAGGAGTTGGTAAACCATGGCCCATGGGCCAAACCCAGCCTCTACCTGTTTTAGTAAATTATGTGTTTGTTTTGTAAGTTGAGGTATAATTCACATTGCAAGTAATGTTTTATTGGAACACAACGGTATGCATTCATTTGCATATTTTCTGTGGCTGCCTTCACCCTACACAAGCAGAGTTAAGTAATGGGAACAGCAATCGTAGGGCCTGCAAAGCCTAATGTATTTACTGTCTGGCTTTTTACAGGAAAAGTTTGCCAATTCCTGGGGTATTGCAATAGTCTCCTCTCTCTGGGTTTCCTGGTTATATCTTATACCTCCCTGAACCCATCCTCCCCATTCCTCTTCCTGTGTGAGGGGGAATTTCTCAAAAATGTGAATTCAGTCATGCCAATTTGCTCCTTAAGGTGCCTTGGCTCTCACTCCTAAGAACATCAGCTTCCGTCTGTGGCTGATCCCTGCACTGGCCTTGTCCTCTGGCCTTACTGAATGCTTTATGCTCTTTCCAGGCTTGGCACATGCTCTTCTTTTTGTCTGAACACCCACCCTTGCCTTTGTCCTCAGTAATAAGCTCAGGCTTTACTTTCCCCAAGAAGCCTTTTCTGGCTTCCACAGGCCAAACCAATGGCTCCTCTACAGCTTGTGCAATACCTCAAATCCAGCATTGATCCACTCTCTCCAGAAAAAAAAGGCAGCGATGAGGCATGTTGGAGGCAAGCAGAGGAAGGAGACATGTGAGGGAATGCTGGGAGACAGGGTAAAAAAGGAGGCATTCGATGCTGCATACTCTAGAGCCCCCTCTGCTGTGCGGAGGTGTGTGCACAGTGGGGAACGTGAAGGGCTTGGGCAGGCAACACCGCATTCCACGTTGTCACTGTCTGTTTGCCTGCCAGCCTTCTATGAGTCTCTTAAAGCACTGACTCTGTTTTTATCTTGTCATTATTCAATCCTCGGTGTCCACACTTTCTGGAATAGCATGGATGTTCAATAACTATTTCTTTCATCATTGACATATGTGACAACGCCCCAGTTTTAAGGAAAGGTCCTCAGGGCTCAGTATTTATTCTCTTAGAAGATGAACATGTGTCCTGTCTAATAAATTGGAGAACTTGGACTTTTTCTGGACCTTCTCCAACTCTGGTTCCTCTTTGTTGGATGAAGGCTTTCCAGGGCACCTGAGTTCTTTCCTAATCTGTAAAACCAGAGGCAGAGCGGTTTATTTTGTATTTTTGGTGATTTTGGTATTTTCTCTCAAAGGAATGCTAAATGGAGCTTGGAGAAATGGAAACTCCTAGCTGTAAAGCCAGGGATGGTACCTCTCAGGTAGGATGCAGAGCTTTTCTGGATGATGTCTCCAGACTAACTCTGCCCTTAGCTTAAGGGCGGGCAGCATGGCAGTTTCGGGGTATCACTGAAATGTGCTGAATGCTAACAGATGCCTAGACAATTGGATACCATCGGGATCCAGGGGAACTCCTGCACTCCAGGAAATTTTCCAAGTCTCCACTGAGTTATCCTCAAAGCGAAGAAGAAGCTTCAGTTTCAAAGTGAGTGCGTTTTTCCATCCACCGATTGGCTTGTTTTGTTCAGTTTTACTTTGAGTGTTTGAGGTTATGTTTCGACGTAACAGCTAAACCCACGGCTTCCTTTCTCGTAAAACCAAAACAAAAAGCCTTCTTTTATTCAGATGCCCTCCACTTGTACTGAATGGGGAAGGCTTCTACCTCAATACGAGCCCGCTATATAAACTCCGTGATTCTGTGTGGGTTCAAACACATTTCAAAGCTTCGGGATCTTGAAAGGTTTCGCTCAGCTTCCTGAAGCCCGAGCTCCGCTCCCGCAGCGCCATGGCCGGCTTCGGGTTCCAGAGGCGCGGGGCTCCCGGCGACCTGCCTGGCAGGACCTGGCCCTGCACCGCGCTCTTTTCTCTGCTTTTCATCCCTGTCTTCTCCAAAGGTGAGTGAACACGAAGGTGGAGGAGGTGTTTCTCCCACCCGGGTTTCATTTCTCTCAGCAGTCACGGGCAGTGATTTCTAGCAAAGCCAGAAGCCACAGGTACCACGGAGCCTCCCGGCTGGGGCAGCTCTGTGTCCTCCACGCTGGGGAGGGCACCGCGGGCAGCAGCTCAGACGCACAGGTGCAGCCGGTGGGTCGCAGAGCCAGGCACCGAGGAGAGGGTGAAGAAGTACCTCTGAGTTGGGTTTTCAGGCACTTCGGTAAGGCTGCAGGCAAATACTGTCAAGTTAATGAAGCGATTTAAGAGAGAAAAGATATCCGCAGTCCTGAACACATCTGAGCTTGGAATCAGGACAAGCTCAGGATTTTTCTTAAAACACACACACACACACACACACACACACCACTAATTGGAGAAAATCATGGAAAGTTTCTTCCCTGCCCGACTCAAGGTCTTAAGGTCCTCAAATTCAATTTTATAAACCCATTAGCCAGCTTGTTTAAAATTTAAGCCTTAACTTTTATTCAGGATTTTAAGGTCCTCTGAATCAACTCTGTAAACTATTTAGCTAATTTAAGAATGAAAGCAGCTTGAAATTGTAAAACAGAGAAAGGAAGCAAGCCATCAGTCCTGCATAAAACACTTAAGAACTACCTGAGCTACCTGTGGAATTCTGAAGCAGACGCTCCAGTTTTCAGATGAAATAAAGCTCATTAGAGGCGGAAACCAGGTTTGTTACCTGGTGTAGAATGATGAGCATTCCCACTGAATTTCCATCTTATCTCTCGCTAGACCTTCTTGCGAAGAAACCATGAGTTTGTATACAGTGTAGTCAAAGATGTTTAACGATTTAATTTTTACTGAATTAGAAATACTCAGATGCCTTTTATTATTTCACATTAAAGATTAAATACCCTTAGAAATATTCAAATTTCCCTTTTAGGGCATTTATCTCAAACTGTAACTGGAATCTTCCCATGGTGGACACTGGGAAATTGAATGTGACCAGACTTAGTAGTGATCATTGGGAGATTGCCTGGGGTGGTCTTCTTTAGGCTAGAGTCAACTCAATAATGATTATTGAGTGTCCATTTGGGCAGGATGTAATGGCTGCTCTCAGGCATAAGCTGGAGGAGGTGTTATTAGTGCACAAAAAAAAGTTTAATGCAGGGCAGAACTTAATTTCTGTAATCAAGTTACAGCCCTGCAGAGGGTGTTCAGAGGGCATCTCTGACAGAAGAAGATGAGGGCTGAGGAAGGAGACTATTGTCTAATCAAGGCTGCTGGATTAACTATGGCAATGGCTGCTGCTATATTGCTGTCTCTTCTGAGGACGGATGTTGTCCAGTACAAGTTCCTGGGGAAAAAGACTAGCACCTTCAATATAGAGTAATGTATACACAGGAAGAGGTATCCTGGAATCTCAGACTGAAATGATAGGTTGGGATTAGATCATGAAGGTTATTTACATTATTTGTTTTTGCAGTGTTATGCAAGCATCAAAAAGTTCGGACAGAACACTGGCCAGTGCGGCTCAGTTAGTTGGGAATTGTTCCATGTATGCACTGACGGGTTGCTGGTTCAATTCCCAGTCAGAGCACATGCCTGGGTTGAGAGATCCCAGTAAGAGGTGTGCAGGAGGCAGCTGATCGATGTTTTGCTCTCTCTTCCTCTCTCTCTTTCAAAAAAAACCCACAAAACAACCAATAAAAAATCTTTTAAAAAGAGGTGAACAGAATGAGTGACATGATGGTTCAATCCAAGTTTTGGATGTCACTTGTATGATTGTCTGGAGGGCTGGCCTCTCTTATCCTGTAGAAACCAGAGAGAAAAAGAGCAAAGCACCCTGTAAGGATGCTCAAGTGAGGAGAGAGGGAGGCGGAAGATGTGGTGGCAGTGGCAGGGAAAGCCCACAGAAGTTAATAGCAGGGATGCCTCAGCCTGAAGAGGAAACGACCTGGTGCCCTCTTGCTCTGTGGCTTTCTTCATCTAGCAGCATCCCTCATTCTATGATAATAATGTCAGGGAAGGGGGTGGCCGATACAGTGAGCCAACGTGCAGCTACTCATGGGTAATAGAAGTATAGGGTCAGGAAAATGTAGGCAAAAGTTTTAAAGATATAAGGCAATATTCTCTACCGCAGCCTCCAAAATTTTCTCTAGTACTCTGAACTATATTTCCTCTACCTGCATTATAATCTTAGAATACCAGAGTTGGAAGGCACTCTGATACTATCTAACCATTCCCCTTTTCCTACATGTGAGGGAAAGTGAAGTCCATAGGGGAGGCATAACAAATCATATATTTCATGGAAGAGTCAGGTCTTCTGTTTGTCACATCCATGTTCTTTCTGGCACAACCAACTGCCTTAAAAAACTATTTCCCAATAAGGAACACCCTTTAAAAATACATATTTTTATTGATTTCAGAGAGGAAGGGAAAGGGAGAGAGAGATAAAAACATCGATGATGAGAGGGAATCATTGACTGGCTGCCTCTTACATGCCCCACACTGGGGATCGAGCTTGCAACCCAGGCATGTGCCCTTGACCGAATGGGACCTTCAGTCCCCGGGCCAACATAGGTACCCTGTCAGTCCTCAGTCCTCTATGCACTGAGCCAAATCAGCCAGGGCCAATTAGAAACATCTTTGTGGAGAGTAGCTGGAAGATAGCTGAGAGAGGGAAAGGTGGCGGGGAGTGGTGGCGGGGTGGGGGTGGAGATGGGGGAGAGTTGGAAAAGGGAAGGGATAGCGGGTGGTGATGGGCTGGTTTAAGGAGAAGAGAATAACTGAAAGCTAATGGGAGGGTGCCTATCAAAGATAAATCTTCTCTGGCTTTTACCTGGGCCTGGTGGTGGGTGAACATGGGTTCACAGAGTTCCTTTGGGTTTTCCATGTTAGGGATGCACGTGACCCAGCCTGCAGTGGTGCTGGCCAGCAGCCGGGGTGTAGCCAGCTTTGTGTGTGAGTATGGATCTTCTGGCAAAGCTGACGAGGTCCGGGTGACAGTGCTGCGGAAGGTGGGCAGCGAGATGACTGAAGTCTGCGCCACAACGTACATGGTGGAGAAGGAGTTGACCTTCCTAGATGATTCCACCTGCCTTGGCTCTTCCAGTGGAAACAAAGTGAACCTCACCATCCAAGGGCTGACGGCCATGGACACGGGCCTCTACATCTGCAAGGTGGAGCTCATGTACCCACCTCCCTACTATGTGGGCATGGGCAATGGAACCCAGATTTATGTCATTGGTGAGCAAAGCCATATCACTGCCCTAACGCCTTTTGTACTTCTGTCTTCTTCGCATGAAAATAGATTCACTCCTTAATGTCAGCTGGTTCATGTATAGGATTGTAAAAATTCGCTTTAAGACTTCTCTGGCATACTACCTGGTAGCCTTTTTGATAGTATGGGTAGCAACCCAAACAACATTCTGACTATAAAATAAAATGGGCTGGAGAAGGTCTACTTTCCATTGGCATGTTGGGACACTCACTCTGAAATGATAACTATCATTCAGGTTTCCCTTATGCCTTTGATATGCCACTCCTGGGGCAGTAGCCCCGAGTAGTTGGATTTAATCTATGGGTAGCAATATTATGAAGGTCTAGAAGCTCCAATGTCTTCAGTTTTTGTCAATGGAAGTAAGGCCCTAATGTTTAAAGAGTGGCTCAGGGAGGCTCTGCTTTGTTTTCTGTTGCAGATCCAGAACCATGCCCGGATTCCGACTTCCTCCTCTGGATCCTTGCAGCAGTTAGTTCGGGGTTATTTTTTTACAGTTTCCTCATCACAGCTGTTTCTTTGAGCAAAATGGTGAGTGTGATGCTGACAACGCACCAATTTGGATGGGGATACCTTTAGTGATAGCAACTGACCAGATGACGCTTTTCGTTTTCTTGAGATGAAGCAATAGGTGAGGAAGGCGAAGGACAGTGGTAAAGAGCACGCTAGAACCCGAGGCATTGGCCTTTGAGGTTTCAGGATGACTAATATTTTAGATGAGTGCATTTGACATCGAATGTTTGTGTGCTTCTGAAGAAGGTTTCAGTTTGAGTAACCTTTTGAACAACATGGGGCAGTTGTTTTGCTCTTTATCTTCATGACAATGTGCTTTGGTGAATAACCCTGAAACACAAGATTAAGTTGAGCAAAATGCTGCTAGAGAAGGCCATCCATCTGGATGAATTTCACTCTCTCCCTTAATGTCCCTCTACCTCACCAGGAAGCCATCTCTCTGTGAACCCAACTGTGCCTTCTTGGTCCACACTGTAGCTGTCCACATAACACCTCTCTAGGGCGCTCTGTTTCCCAGTCAGCTTAACTGGGAAACTTTGGGAAGTCTTGACCTCCCTTCCAGCCCAGCAAAAGTGGACCCAATTTTTTTATTTACTACAATTTGTTGGTAGAAGAGAAGAAGGTATGGAATCTGGCCCCCAATCAGGATATCTTTCTGACAGTTATTTTCAGCCACCTCTGCCTAAGGCTGGCTTTGTCACAAACTTCTCCCTCTCTTTCCTCCCCACTCCCTCTCTCCCTGCCTCCACCATTCTCTTTCTCTCCCTGCCTTCCTCTCTCCCTGCTTCCCCTTCCTTCCCCTCCCCTTTCTCTCTCCTAAAATCCTCTCTCAATCTCTTCTGTTGCGGTAGTTTCTTCCTACCTCATTTGCTACAAATCACCTCACAGAACAGTATGCTGGGCCTGGAGCTTAATTTACTAGATGATAAAAACTGGGAACTGATGCGGACAGAAAGAAAGTAATAAAAAGTAGATGAGGATGAGAAATGAGAAATACAGCTCTCAAACAGAATCACTAAAGTTCATTATCTTATCAAACTCGTTCCCCCACAGACAACATCCAGTCACTTACCATACACATTTGGGGTGTTTTTTTCTGAAGCTTCCTCAAAATCTTTTTCTTCTATCTTTCAGTCAGGAAAAAGTAATTGCTATTTTGCATTCATAGCACAGAGTTATTTATCTAAACTGCATTTTAATGGCTCAATCAAGAAAATCTCCTGCGGCTTATAATTCTGTATGCTGTGAACATTCATTTTCCAACAGGGGAGGGACCCGATAGTTGCGGAGTCCTACTATGGTTAGAAGTGACTTCTGTATTCCTCAAGAATAACTACTGTTTCTTGTTGTGTTTGGCAGCTAAAGAAAAGAAGTCCTCTTACTACAGGGGTCTATGTGAAAATGCCCCCCACCGAGCCAGAATGTGAAAAGCAATTTCAGCCGTATTTTATTCCCATCAATTGAGAGACCATTATGAAGAAGGAAGACCATTTTCTGATTTCTAGGAGCTGAGGCAATTCCACCTTTTTGCTATCCAGTTATTATCATTGATTTGTGTACTTTGGGGGGGATTCATCCCTCTTTAATGTAAAGCTGGATGCAGAACCCAAATTAGGTATACTACAATTTAAAGCAAAGGAGCAGAAAAACAGAGCCAGGATGTTTCTGTCACATCAGATCCAATTTTAGTAAAAGCATCACTTGGGAGCAATATGCGGATGCAGCATTATGATGTAGAATCAAGGAAGTAAGTTAAGGGATGGTACAGTCCTGGGAAAGCAAAGGATTTACATGTGAGACGTTTCTAGCTGAAATGATGTTTTCAAGTTAAGTTTTTATGCTGTGGTATTTTTCTTAGCAAGTATATAATTAAATGAATAGTTTAAGAATGCTCACATGGCTATATTTGAGCCGGTGATTCTAAAGGTTGTATTGTACCAATATGTATTTTTTATATGATAGTAATGTGCATGGGGGCCACACGTGCTTTTGTGTACTTGCTGATAGTTTGAATATAAACACTATATGGCAGTGTCTTCCCACCGTGAGTTCAGGGGAAGCTTGGTGAAGGGGCTCAGGACACTAATACACCAGATAGAAAATAAGATCACCTTCTAACTAGCCTGGAAACTGGATACGGTCATAGCAGATTCTTGCGGACATGTTGGGCTGAATTGGTGTTGACATGTGCTTTGGGCTTTTATGCCAGCTCCTTTTAATGGTTTTCAAGGAAACCAGAGTTAACTTGATAGAACACCACTGTTGAGAAAATGGCCCATTCTGGGAGTCCTATGGGTGTGAGCTTCAAGGGAGCTCCAGTTATACACACGGTTAATGCCATGGACAGAACAAAGAAGCAGGTAGCAGAACGGGGTGCATTAAGGGTTCTGAAAACTAACACTGTTGGTGTTTTTTAACTCAATATTTTCCATGAAAATGCAACAACATGTATAATATTTTTAATTAAATAAAATTTGTGGTGGTCATTTTTCAGAGTTCTTATTTTCCTTGTAATTTGAGTATTGTGTTTGAATTTGCTTTTGATTGATTCATTCAGCAGTAGGTGGGGTCTCCAATATTAGAAATACTGGGAACAAAATGAAAAAAAATCCCAAAGGGCAAATGCTTCATGAGTTAGCTATCTACCAGCCAATTACCTGTAAGCCATTCTTTGAAGAATTCAGACACTGTGCTTTTGATTTCTTCACAACTATTTGAGATATTAAGTGGGCTACCACAGATATAGCAGTTCTTGATAAATCACACTGCACTCTCTTTAGCACAGGGTTTTCACCTCTTCTTTCTTACCCACAGCTTTCTTAACTCTACTGGGTCACCCATGACAGTTGTCATGGCAACTCCAGGCTTGTGAACCATGCCCCTTGCAGCCACTTTGATCTGCTTCCATGACAAACAGAACTTTTCCTTGAAGCTTCCCAATGAACTATTTCACACATGTGGGGAAAACATACCTGCGATACTATCAGCTCGCAGGCCTGGCCCACTGAGCCTTCTGTGATTCTTGGTTAACCAATTGTGGCCTCAGCCTGCTTGGTTTCCACACAAGGTTTCTCATGCTTGACCTCCACATCCTGTTTTTGTCTTGTGAAATGTTTCTCAGTGTGGCCAGGGACCACCAGTAACTGAATGAACTTGCTGAAAATGATGATTCAAGTGCTTAACTTCAGATGTACTGAATCAGAAACTTGGGCAATGGAGCCAGGAATTTGAGAATCACTGCTTAGGCATCTCTTTCCTCTCTCTCTCTCCAACAAGTGCTAACAAACATATGAGACAGCACATAGTGGGTATTCCATACATTCCATAAAGATTGTTAAATAAAAATGAATAGGTCTTTCAACATATGGTAATAGCAGTTACCTAGAATGAGCTCCTACTCTGTTGAGGTTAACTCTTGCTCTCTTGGCTTTTGGTTGGAAGCCATAAAGAAACACACAGTTTTGGAGCCCCCAATAGATAATATGATATCATTTCTATTCCTCCAAATGTCTTTAGAGAGATCATTCTTTTTCATAGTTGATGGCTAATCTAAATGACAGAGAGGGCCTCTCAGGTATCTTTCAGACACCATTAGATGATGGACTATTTATTTAAGCTTAGTATCTCCTGTACTATTACTTGAAATTCTACTATTAGCTATTCATTGAGTTAAGCATTATCCTCTTCATTCAGTCTCAAAAAAGTACTCTTTAGCTCAAAAATTTTCCCTATGGAAGAAGAAATGGGCAAGAAAGAGGATGTCCTGAGATTCCACTGAAAGAGGAGAAAGAAAATACGGGGTGAGGGCATCTGGTCACTACATGAAAGCCCCTTCTAATTCCTAGTTTGTTTAAAAGCATTAAAAAGATTAAAAGTCCTTTTCCTGCAATACTCAGAGATTCATTGTCCCCCCAAATCAGAGGACCAACTGTTTCATGGCATTCCAACCTTCATCACTATCTCCATGACTGTGATCAGGGTCCTGCAAAGACCCCAAAATTCTGCTCATCTACCTGGGGCTTGGTCTACGATGGAGGGGGAGTCTGGGTACTATAACCTTTCTCACTGGAACTGCTGGTCTCAGGTAGGAATGTGGATGACCAGGAAAGCAGGATAGAGTTACCTGGGTCAGCCCCAACTCCTATCAGTTCCCAGCATATACCTCTGCTCATCTTCCTTTATCTTCCAACATGGTACTCTCATTTCTGCTACTTCTTGTTTCTACATAGTTTACCCCCAAATATCTTTACCCCTCATTTTTACATCTACTCGGACTCATCTCAGATGCTGCCTCCTCCATCGTATTTGCTGGTATGTCAAGCCCACATGGATTTCTCCCCTTCTGTATTGCAACTATATTGGGTTTCATCTTTGATTTCAAATGTGCATGCCTTTTCTCCCTAGCTTCAGAGGAAATGTCTCCAAAATAGGAATCATTACAGCTTTAGGCACACAATAGATGCTCAAACAAATTTCCTGGAGACTTGGGGAGCTAGGATATCTGGGATTATGGGAAGGACAACTGTCTTTTTTTCCCTTTTTTTCAGAACATGGCTGTGTTTTCTTAGGTGGCTTCAATCTAATATCTTTTCCCTTTGACCAGCAGAACTAAGTGCATGTCAATCTATCTCGTGGCTTAAACATTTAAGACTCTGGAATGTGACCTCCAGCTGGCTGCCCTGCCCCCATGTTCTACTTTTATCTCAATCCAGAATCCAGTTTCTTCCAATCGTGTGTGTGTGTGTGTGTGTGTGTGTGTGTGTGTGAAGGCAAAAATGCTCATTTTTACTCTCTCTGTCTCTTTTGAACTGTGGGGTTATTACTAAAACTGGCTATATTTTTATATCAAGTCTGAACCTTCTTCCATCTCCACAGTTGACACACACTTAATTTACTTGGAATTGAACTTGCAAAATGTTGCTGTCACTGTGCTGTTAATTGCAGCAAAGCCATTTAAGAAGTTGGAGAATTTACAAATTTAAGTTATTCTTTTGGGAGGTCTCAAAGCAAAGCAGAAAATATGACTTTCCATGGAAAGTTATTTTTATTGCTTCACTTCTTTTTGGCACCTGGTTAGAGCCATGACTTGGGTGTCTTAAAGGCTTTGTTTTATTTTATATAAAAGAGATTTATTCAGATGCCTCAACCTGGGAGAATGGTGGACACCCATCACAAAGACCATCCTCCTACTCCCCCCTGCCTTTCCTGCTCACCTGTGGTTCTTATAAGGATAGAAAGGGGACTGCTGTTTTTCCTATTCAATTATCTTATTAACTTTTGTCATACTAGGGCCTTGTCCATTCATCTTTGTAGCTTTTGGCACACTTGGTATAAGAACCTTTCCTTGCAACATCTTGGCCAATTGGGGAGACTCCCAGGGCTCCCTGATTGTCCATGGTAGGACCTGCCATCAGGAAGTCTGGAGATGCCACAGCCCTTCAACCCACTTCCCGCATTAGACATGCTACCTGCACATCAGAGGGAGCCAGTTGGAGTTTTGGAGGCACCCTGAATCCTGGCCCACCCCTCCGAAGTACAAACTTGCAAAATGTTTGTATAGGGCTAATGGTTCCTGCAAAGGGCGGAAGCTATTAATCTTCTAAATTTTTTTCTTAGAAGAATTCAACCTGCTCTGATCTATATGGCAAGAAGTCTGACACTCAGCTTTTTCTTGGAAATGGTTCCTTTCACGGGTGCACTCTATTATAGGTGCTCTTTCATTTACTGTGCACAGTAATTGCCTGGAGCACTTGGGAGACATGCAGACTGAGGTGCTCCAGGCGCAGAGCTTTTCATTTGTAAAATTGGAGGCAGGGCCTGGAGATTTTCATTCTCCAATGAGTCTTTGGGTCATATTTTCAGAAGCCCTGGTCTAACTCAGGAGCCTACCGTCATAGATGATTAGGACTAGAGAGGGAAGCTTGGAAATTATTTTGGAAGAAAATGAGGCTCAGAGACATTAGGAAACTTGTCCAAGGTCACAGAGGGAGGCAGGACTGGAGCCAGGCTGAGAGGCCAGGTCTGCTGATTTTCACATCCGGGCTCTGCAGTGGGTGACACTCTGAACTGTCTGCCCAGGAGATGTTCTTTTCAGGCTGCTTTCCCTCTCACCTCCATCCCAGCTGCTGTGTGAAGCCTTGGTGAGACCAGTGCCATTGTTTCTGGCCTGATGTTGGCTCTATCTTTTCTATCTCCCCCTTAACCTTACAGGGCTCTAGCAAGAGACTCCAGGTGACGTAGCCTGTCCTCAGCCATCCTACTGAAGAACACTGCAGAGAAAACCACAAAACCAACACTGGCCAACGGCCTGTCAGTGATGCTTGCAGTACACTGAGAAGGGATTGAAATTCTGCTGGAAGTCATGCCGCAACCCAGGGAAAGGACACATGCTCTTTTTATCACAGGCAGTCAGGTTACCATAGCAACCAATGCTGTTTTCAAAACACATTAGTCGCACAAAGTGATTTAGTCTATTTGAACAACAACAACAAAACAGGGAGCTTCTCTCTGGGAAGAAATTTAGGAAACACTTTTCAAGAGGTGATTTGAAATTTTAGACAGCAATGTAAGCAATTTCTCAGGTACAGCAGCCCTTTTCTTAGGATGTTTCCTTTTTCTTCTTGCTTCACTTTGACAACATGTTGCTCCGTCCTGCAGTCGTCTTAGTAGTAACTCGCTTTCCTCACTTTGTTGAAAATGAAGCGTGCTTTCCTCTTTGTAGTTGACTTGCAACTCAGATATAGTCTCTAGTCTCCTGGGAACATTTCTCTTGCCCCTGGCACATCAAAGTATCTATAACTATGAGTAGACTTTAAGGACAGAAAGCTTGGATCTGTGAATAAAGATGAGCATTCTCTAGTATTCCTTTCCTACGTAAGAAGCCACCATGCTGGATTCAGTTCATGAGCTCCTCATTTTGAATGAAATAGGAGAAGAACCCAACTTGGAAGCCTTTAACATTGCATGGGTGTACTCCGCTAAAGCAATTCTCACGGCAACCTTGCAGGAAAAGTGTTGCCATCATCCTCATTGTACAGGTGAGGAAACGGAGGCTCAGGGAGTTTTATTATTCTCCCAAAGCCATGCAGAGTTAAGAGGTTAAGAGTGGAACTGATGTCGAATTCCAAAGCCCATATTCTTTTCAAATGACCATACCCAGAGGGCTACTTGCAGAAGGAAAAGGGGGAAATGAAAAGAGAATGGAAAGTTCTAGAGAAGAAAGCATGCATCATGGGGGTTACAAATGGGTGTTGGAATAAGCAAATAATCTTTGGACAAATGCTTTGAAAGATTTTTTGAAGAGGCTCATGCTTGAGATTACCTCCAGTGCCTGAGAGTTGTAACCAGGAAAGAAGAAAACAGGAATTGAAGACATGTAAAAGTGGACCACTGACTTCAACCCACACAGCTAGCCATAGCTGTTTCCCACTCACTGGTGCCAAAATCAGTGAGCAACATGGCTTCCCACTCAGACA